AAGGATATGTCTAAAAACAAGTGAAAATCAGACCTGTTCTGTAAGATGTACTGCCTACAGGATTGACGGAGCTAACATACACAAAACAAGCCTTCATGAAAAAGCAGTCCAGGGCAAATTCAGAAGGTATCGTTGAAGAAAGGCAGCACGAAGACTGTTCCTTTCTGCTCTGCGTCATCACATATGCCTTGGTTAGCTTTCCTTCTTTCTGCTGAAGCTAGGAACCCCTGCCTCTGATACGTACTGTATGCTGTAAATAACACGACAGAGCAGTAAAGTGGAAAAGGATACAGAATTGTACTTTCGCATAAGCAGGAAACGTCTGGACTATTTGTATACAAGAGGAATGTCACATAGAGCTGCTGCAGAACTGTGGATTGCAGTGGTGACAGCCCCAGTCCTGCAACTGAGGCCCCCATTTCTGCCCCGAGGCAAGAAACTCCCCACCCTACGGGTCTCTTGGCAGGACATGTTTTCTTGGCCCACTCCAGGGGTGCCTCTAGGCTTTCTCTTTTTTTCCAAACCTAACCCTGACCCTAACTGCAGCCTTTCCCAGGCCAGTGCTGGGATTAAGATCCCCGTTTCTGCCCCAGACAAGAAACTCCTCATGGGACAGCTCTCTTGGGCTGCGCACACCTTCCTTGGGCAGCCCCTTTCCAGACCTGCTCCAGTGACACCTCTAGGCTTTCTCTTTCTCCCAACCCTAGCCCCAGCTCTAACTGATTTTTCAGGCCCATGTATGGGCTAAGACCCCTGTTTCTGCCACTGACAAGAAACTCCCCACAGTACAGGTCCCCGGGCAGTGCACACCTTCCTTTGGCAGCCCCTTTCCAGACCTGCTCCAGTGGCACCTTGCAGCTTTCTCTTTCTCCCAACCGCTAACCTTTACCCTAAGCAATTTTTAGGCCGACGCTGGGATTAAGACCCCCATTTCTGCCCCAGATGAGAAACTCTTCACAGGACAGCTGTCTTAGCAGAGCATACCTGCCGTTGGCAGCCTCTTTCCAGACCCACTCCAGCAACACCTCTAGGCTTTCTTTCTCCTAACCCTAAACCATTTCTTGGTCCTAGGACTAGCCTAAGACCCCCCATTTCCACTCCAGATGAGAAATTCCTCACAGGAAAGGTAGCTGAAGAAGGTATGGATGGCTCTTAGCTCTGCCAGCTGTTTGAAGCCTTAATCAACTGCTTAAACCAGCCCCTGTCACTGTTAGAAGGACACTGTACAGGTCAGGTCAGCTAGGCCCATTTCTTGCTACTGCGATACATGCGATGAAACAGAAGCAGCAGTTGCTCTGACCAGAGTTGGTGTGGATGACTGTTCTAAGATGTACTAAGTTTCACTGAAAGCCATTACCAATAGTAATTGCCTGAGGATCAGCATATTCACAGCATGATTTCCCCCAAAGCATTGCAAAGCTTTAAGCCTGTCTGTAACAAAAAGTGGTCAACTGCACAGCCTGATGTCAGTCAACCAGTCTCCCCAACTGCTTCAGGAGACTACAAGTTTTAGAGTGAGAAAGGCAAGCAGGAAAAAAGTGAATTACTGAGACCATAACATCCTTATGGTGAATATG